CAACGTTTTATAATTATTTATAACTAAATTGCTTACATAATTTAATTTAACGCATGAAAATTGTTTTTCAGACTATTTTAAATCAGCAACGTTAAACATTTCATTTTCTCATTATATCTATCACTAAAAATACCAGAAACCATTTAATATTTTACAATCAACAAATTTAAATTTACTTTTTGAGAGAATTATACCTAATAAATACATAAAAACTACTGAAAAAGTATGGAATAGATAAAAAATTATAATATAACTCTCTTCATTTAGTAGAACACTAGTGCAATCCTATCCTTACTGTAACTAAAAGTATACCTAAATTAAAACATATATAGTCAAATTATAACAAAATAGTAAAGATTTATGCTATTTTTATTCAGTAACATTTCTAAGTGGCATATTTCTTTCGTGTCTACTATCTACTAACTCTACGGCAAAGTGATTAAAATAAAAATCCTTTAATTTTTTCAACATATTCGTTACGAATATGTGAGGAAAAACTCTTCCTCTGGAATGGTAAGAAAACGAGTTTAATTTTTCATATATATTTGTTATTACCAAGTTTTATGTTTCATTAATTAGTTATAGCCAGCGCATATATAACTTTTACACTTTATTAGTAAACTCAAAGTAGGTAAATTACGCAATTTGACCGTCGAAATTTTAAAATATAAGTCAAGAAAGGTAAAGTAATATTTTCTCGTGTTTCTTGTTTTCTTTTGAATCATACTGTATATGGTTTATAAACTACCTATATATCTTAAAATATAAGTCGAGAAAAGAAAAAAATAACGTTTTTCCTCTTTTTTTAATCATACTGTGTATGGTTTATAAACTATATATTTAAAATTATGGCTCCAGTCAGCTGATTGGCCTGATTCATAAAAATGATTAAGAAGTTCTTTATTTGATGTTTGTCTCTTAATATTTTGTTTCACAATATTTTGATTCGATGTTTTGTAATAATTTAAAATTATGCGAATTTTGTCACACATCGTGTTTGTTTAAATATTGAAAAAATTCTAGATCTATAGATTTTTAAGCTTTAATAATATATTTCTATGACCGAGCGTTATACATATATAAATAATATCTCAAAAACTTACAAATCAGTTTTTTCGTAAATTCCAACCCCGACGAGATTTTTTCGGAAATAATCGGGGCATTTTATCTGCGTTCTTAATAACTTTTAACAACTAAAATATAAAATAAATGTCCAAAACTTAAAACACTAATAATTTATATTGGTTAATATGGGAAAAAATTATTTCACAAGAAGTTATCTTTTTAAAAATTAAGTCTGATACAAATTAAAGCAAAAAACGAACTGACTAATGAATTTAGATATTCCATGGCGTATGCACCCAAAGACTGTTTGTTTATATTACCAACATAAAAATCACTTCACAGTAAGATTATCACATTCCAGATTGGGAAGTAGGTACCAGTTTTAAAACCGTATGTAAGCAGTATTAAAATAACCGAAAATACTTATTGGTAAAGTTTTTAAAATATAATATATGTATATTTCAAAAGTAAAATTCTCCTTGAAATCATATTACAAAATAAAAATAATATTTTTCTCTGTATCTTGAATTTTGCTCAGTCTGGCTGTGTACACCGTACAGACTACTAATCATATAAATTTAAACGTAACCCAGCTGAATAGTTAACCGATTAGGCCGATTATTATGTATACAAAATTGATTTGGTCCAGCATCGAAAAGGTTTTCATTGTGAATCTACGGTACGCTCGTCAAAATGCTGACATTGCCCTAGTGTCTTTTAATTATCTCTCTTATTTTAGATAAAATTATGATTTTACAATCGTTAGAATCCTTAAGTTTTTCTCTAGTAATAAACAAGAATACATTTTCACAAATTTTTGCACAGTTTTTATGATATCGGCGTATATAAATAAAAAATCGGTAAAATATTATTTCTCTTTAATTTTTACTTTAGAAACAATTATATTAAACTTTCTTTTTTGAGAATAACTCGTTTTCCTTGGAAGATTTTTAGGACAACCTAAGCCATTTAAATCTAAAAATCAAAAACTACTATTTCGAGAACTAACACAATAATAATTATTGTATCTATAAAATGCCAAAGAAAATCTAAACTACGCGATTTTTACCCTCCGCCGCTTAACAATATTTACGTGACAACTAGAACAGTAGATACCTCTGTGTATATACTTGGCAACAACGTATATTGTTCCGTCTCTGTAATAGCTATATCAAGTGTTGCCCTCTTTTGCTTTACGCACCAACTCTAATTAGCAATATTTGTAGTTACAGAAAACTATAATGTTTAGCGCTAGTTTTCAACAATTTTTGTGCTATCGTAACTCCATCTTGCGTTAGCGAAAACGTAACTTTTGTAGGGTAATATAAATCTTAAGCAATTAATAACATTTATACACGAAATGACAATACAATTCAAATTTTCAATCCTTTTATTCTTGTTTTATTGTCAAATTTTTACCCATAATTTTGAAATGGATCCAGTTTTCTGCATCTTCTTCTTCTCCCAGATTCGAATTCTGAAGTTTATCAATCCTTCTGCGACACCTGTGAAAATTTAAAAAATACTTATGAAAATACTAAGTTTATTATATAATGGTGACTTTAATCTTCTGGACATTCAGTGGTATTTGGATAATAATGTGCTTGTTTCCAATCGAATTCCAACGCAGTCGGCTGCAGTTTTGGTTGAAACGATGTTTTTTCTCGAGTTACAGCAATTGAATTCCATCCGTAACAGCCGCGGAAGATTCCTGGACTTAATTTTCCGCAGACAATTTTAATGACATTTCCGTAACAGAATCTTGAATGCCTTTAATACCTTTAGATTCCTACCATTACCTTGGTTTAGAAACAATTTTAAAGTTTCAGTTTCAATGGGCCCATTGAGGAGTAACCATGAGCTATTAGTATATCAGTATCCACAAGCAGATTTTATTAAAACATATTTGGAACAAACTAATTGATCCTCTTTATACAGTGCTGTCGATCTCGATATAATGGTGGATATATTTTATAAATACCTGTTTAAGGCCATTGATTTATATGTTCCTAAAAGAAAAATAAAAAACCAAAAATATCCAAAATGGTATGACAGCCCTGTGAGAAGATTAATATCTGAAAAAAACAGAGCATATAATAAATTTAAAAGGACTGGCTATGCTTCAGACTACAAAACATACTCCGACATTCGACGTGAGGTAAAATATCGCATTGACCTATGTTACCTTACTTTTGTTAGCATATTGAACATGTTATTCTGGAAAATGTGAAATATTTTTGGACATTTATTAATAGTCTAAAAACGTACAGAACATATGCCTTCTATCATGAAATACAACAATGATATTTTAATGAGTCTTGCTACAGTAACTACAGCACTCTTAACTTAAACCACCCGAAAGCCGTTAAATTTGGTTTCCACCTGTCATTTCATATCTTTAAAGAAGATGAAATAAAGAAGGAAATGTTTGACCTCGATCCTTCCAAAGGTTTCTGGGTCCAGATGGAATACCACCTATCCATCTCAAGAAGTGCTCTGCTTTATGTGCACAATTTTCCAGAGATCATTCGACAGAGAATATGTCTCGTCCAAATGGAAATATTCTAATTTGGTCTCAATTTTTAAATACGGGGATAAATGTGACATAAAAAATTATCGCGGCATTTCTATGCTATCAACAATTCCTAAGCTGTTGGTACCAATCCTAACAGATGAATTATTCTACACGTTTGAGAATTACATAATATACGAGCAGCATTTCTTCTACAGAGGTCAATCAACAACCACCAATCTAGCTATTTATCAGGAGTTTATTACCTCTTTAGTTGAAGCTTGTTACCAAGTTGACACAATTAATACCGACCTTTCTAAGGCGTTTGATAGTGTGTGTCCGCAGTTGCATTTAAAGAAACTATCTGAAATTGATGTAATAGGCAATTCTTAAGTGGATTAAATCGTATCTTATTAACCGTCGGCAGCGTGTTACAGTGAGTGGTTTTATGTCGCGAGAAATGACAGTGTCTTCGGGTGTACCTCAGGGTTTGCATATTGGCCCCATTTTATTTTTATTGTTTATAAACGATGTAATGTCCTGTTTTGAAAATTCTCATTGTCTTTTATGTGCTGACGATTTGAAATTTTTTAGTATTGTGGAACCTAATCGCAACGCCCTATGGTCTGATTTAGATTATTTCGTCTCCTGGTGCAGTGACAACTATTTACAACTAAACATTCCAAAATATAAAGTTATTAAAAATTAAGCTCATGTCATGTGATATAACTCAATCATCAGAAATGCTGTTGTGCATTGTAATCGAAACCGAAAAATCGATGTTCTTTAAACATCGATACATCGCGTGCATTCTTACCTCCTTCTTGTTTATGTGATGCAATTGACTGACGATCTCTTCGAAATATATTAAAAGAGCTACATAAGATTTCATGGTTAAAAATGTTCTCCTTTAGCCAAGTTTTGGTTAAAGAGATTATGTCGTGGTCACTCTTGTTAAAGAATTCTTGTAGATAGATGACAATTTAGACTTTAAACCACGCACATTTTGATACAAAATGTTTAATTCGCTGAATTTTGAGGATAGTTTTTATTTAACTTTTTAGCATTTAGTTTGAATTTGCCTGAATAAAGATAAAAGCTGCGTTTGTTAAGTCTAACTTAAATTCAAAAATTAGTGAATATAATGATTCTTATATGGAATTTGATAATATTCATCCTCATTTGACAAATAATTTATATAATGACTTACCTAACATAAGTTAGATTAAATATTTCATTTTGTTCGCAGTTTCATTTTACTATATTCTATTCTTACTGTGTCTGTAGCCGTAGAGAAAGTACAGTCTGTTACTCTGTTGGAATGAATATCTTATACTCATGGTTATTTACGCTTGGGTTCGGAATCTTCCACTCGTATCGAATTTTCATTAAAAACTTTGTTACAGAATATACTTTTTTTTAGGATTTCCTTATTGGCCTGCCAAAGCAATGTCTATAAATTCATCAGGGATGGTCGATGTCAGATTTTTCGGAGCCCATGACAGAGCATGGGTACATTATAAAGATTGCTATCTTTATTCGGAAAAGGACCCCAATACTTTTAAGCAAAAACGATTTGACATTGAAAAATGCGTTGAGGTAACTTAAAAATATCAGTTTTATATTCAATTTAACAATATTATTTTAGGAATTAAATTTTTATATTGAGAATTTGAAAAAAATATATGGCGAATTTCGATATGCTCCGTTTAGAACATTATTAGATTCAGAAGATATTTACAAACAACTCGTAATCTTTCTTCCGAAATATAAATCGGTACAAGCTCGTAGAAGATCAACCGTAGATTCCATTGACGCCAAGTCTGATGAGCAGGCTGACTCAAAAACTGGCCCCAACGAAGAAATTTCGGAAGATCCTGAAAAATCGGAAGCATCGAGTCGCTCTAACTTGACTACTCCCATTCAGGACAACGACACTACCATGGAAGGTTACGGAACTGATGATGACATGCCATCCGAAATCGATCACGAAAGCAGGAAGGCTTTCGCCGAGAAGAAGGAATCGAATAGCGATGACAAAACTGAAGACGAGGATGACGAAGATGACACGCAAATACCTGCTAATGTTTCTGTGGACGGTACTTTACCTAGAGGTAAAGTTAGGACAAGAGGAGGCTTCAATCACGCGATAGGTAAGATATTTTACAGCGTGGGTCATGAGTAATGCATCAGTTTCTGTTGGCGAAATGTCTTTTGTTTATATTGAGAGATATTAGCCAGGATTACCTTTCGTTTTTTAAGACAGTCCCTTTGGGGAATTTTGCTGTTAATAAAACTGAAACCAGAAAATATCGAAATACACAAAAATTATTATTTGGTAAATCACATAATGAAAAACATTGAATTAGCGTTTAGAAGCGTCAACACTATCGAGGGAAGAATATGTGGGTTCATATAGAACACATAAAAATGACATAAGTTCCTATACATTTTTTTCTACGACCCCCATTTTCGAAGATATGGTCCCATAGTGCACAACCCTGAAAATCTTCTTTTTTTTTTTAAAACTTTCAAAGTCCTTGGTATAATTTAATAATTTTTAAATAAGATGGATAATAGATAAGTCTCCGTAAAATGGACCATTTTAAACACTTTTGACTTATTTAGTTTGCCAGAAACGGATTAGCTTTAACACAATAATGTTAATATATTTTACACCCTGTTTGATAAAAACACAACAATAATATTTTTGGACAGCTTAACCCTTAACTAAAAAAGACACTTTCAATCAATATCGATAAAATGACTTGTTTTCTTTAAAAATTTTTGTTTTTTGTTGCAATGGTTTTTGACAGTTTTTATTGAATAATTTGGTATGTCGGTTCAATAAGAATTGGAATTTGTTGGACCCTCCACAATACTTCAACATTTTTCCTTATTTCACTGAAAGTTAATCGTTTCTAATAAGTTTTCTCTATTGGAAATTAGTTCAGGTGATCAAAGTGGCCAAGGCACTGGTCCTCTTCCTATCCATCGATTTCCGAGGTTCTTGTTTAAGTGTTCTTAAACTATTTGACTAAAATGTGTTGGCGCTCCATCCTGCATGAATCACATATCAGGTCGTATTGCCAAAGATAAATATTGTAAAAGTTATTGAAAATTGTTTTGAAGAAATTTCAAATAAAGTTCTTCAGTTAACCTTCTTGGCAATACAAATGGCCCAATTAAATGTTATCCGATAATTCCGACCCACACGTTGACGAGTTTAAATTGATGCTAATGATGCGCCACAATAAAAGCATGCGGATTTTCCTTTGCCAACAAAAGCAAATTATGGTAGTTTATGATTCCTTGTTTAGAAAATTCAACTTCGTACGTAAACAGAACTGAACCAAAAAATTGTCATCGTTTTTATGCCGATTTAAAAGCCAATTAGAATATTCGATCCTTCGTGGAGAGTTTTCGGGAAGAAGCGCATGGACTTTCTCAAGGTGAAATGGATACAATTGTTGCTTTCTAAGGATTCTAGAAACCGTCGATTTTGGTCAAACTGGGCAGCCAATTTTCAGACACCTGTAGAAGAATCATCTTCTACGGCTTTTAAAATATTTTTTTCGATACCCTCATCACGATCCATTTGAATTCCACGATTCCTTTTTTTAATTAACTCTTTTGGGTTGGATAACGATTATCATTCATACTTAAGATTTTATGTAGCCAGTTTAAAGTAATTTTGAATATATTATAGGAATATTTAACTCTGCCAGATTCTAATTTTATTGCGCAGTCATGTGTATTGATAGGCACCAATAGCATCTACTTCAGAAAAGTTATTTGAACCCTTTCTAACACCTCCAAATACCTTAGGTTCCACACAGGGGCACAATTAAACATGAGAGAGCTAAGGATTTAAACAACTTTATCCGAGCATACCATGTGTCCATTTTAGCTTTGGCCATAACCGGCAAAATTGCTCCTATGTCTTGCTTACCCTTATCTGAAGTTGATAACATTTCGTGAAATAAGCCAGAAGATGTAAATGTGACTCCTAAATATGTATATTTATTTGTAAAATTTAGATGTTGACCGTTAAATTTGAAAGGGTAATTATTTTTTTGAAATAATATAATAATAATAACGTTTATTCAGTAAGCCAATGGTATAAAACATAACAGCATTATAATGTAGCGGATATCAAGAATATAATAATAATGAAAAAGGAAAATGAATAATACAATAGAAACCTACCAAAATATGAACTTACTGAAAAGGATATATTCATCGTCAATCATACAAGATGAAAGAAGATGGTTTTCAATATATCCTGATGTAAAAAGCACAAAAAAAAGAATTATAACAAAGATTATAATAGTAAATCCCACAAAAAAGAGACAAACAAAATTATTAATTAAATAATAATAACTAACACCAATATCTAATTATAGTACCTATCTAACAATAATAATAATACTACAATAATTATTAATTGATGCGAAGCATCAATGAAAATATTTTTGATAAATCTTAAATTTTAAACGATACTTCCATGTCACCATTTAATATATAACATTTTATTTTACGCTTTAATGCACTTACAGATAAGTTTTTAAGTTCAGGGGGGGGGGAGAATTGATTGTTTTATAAAATATGTAAGTAAAAGAGCTTTCAAACATCTTAGTCTTGTGTTGCAGGATTGATACAAAATTTCTTCTACGGATATTAAGATTATGAACATCGCTTCTGAACCTTATCTTGTTATGTAAATATGACGGCGTTTTAAATAGTAAAATTTTTTGAAATAGGCAGCAGGAATGCAAAAAACGAGCTTGACTTACTGTCAGCCATTTTAGTTCACTCCTTTTACGAGAAACCCGTTGATTTTTTTTTAATTTATAAATTAATCTAATGCAGGTATTTTGAATACGCTGAAGACGCTGGTTATTGAATTGAGTAATGCATGGTCCATAGACTGAATCACAAAAGTTCAAGTGAGAAAATACAAGCGATTCACATAATAAGATTTTAGAACGATGATCCAGGGTGTCTTTATTGCCGTAAATCATTTTTATATTCGTTACACATTTTTTTATTATATTATTAATGTGTTTTTCAAATCTAAGATCAGTATCAAGGAATACACCCAAGTTTTTTGCGATATGTGTATTAGGCAATATTTCATTGTTAACTTTAATTTTAAGTTGATCATTGTAATTAATTCTATCTTTTTTCCTGCCAAACAGCATAACATGAGATTTAGAGGGATTTATATCTAAGCAATAGTCATTAGATAATTTAAAAAGTAAATTCAAATCAGAATTTACTTTGGCTATGCTTTCTTCAAATTTACAAGCAGGGAATGAAAGGTAAATCTGAGTATCATCCGCATATTGATGAAAATTGCAATACTTCAGTGAATCTGGGAATAAAGATGTATAGATGCAAAACAATAAAGGCCCCTCCTCTAGAAAGTGACATGATTTTAGTTTTTTGGATGTTGACGGTAAGGTCATTTAAAGAGGTATATTTTTATAAAATTTTAAGTTTTTTTGTAACATCAATCTCAGAATGTGCTAGGATTACCATATCGTCGGCATAAAGTAGTGTGAGAATATCATGGATATCGTCAATATTCACACCCTGGGCTCCTTCGACATAAAAAAAATCTTCTATATTAGTTAAAAACATGGCGAAAAGTAAAGGACTTAGAGATTCTCCTTGCAGTACACCGTCAATTACATAAAAAGACTTAGACCGTTAGAGGATTTAACCCTGACTGAGGTTTTTGAGTATAAATTTATTATAACATTAAGAATTTTTGCCGATGTACCTAACCCATATAATTTATTCCACAATAAAGACTTCCATTTTTCTATGCTTAAAATACAAGTGTATTATCGAACTTAGTGTATGTACATTGTCGATACAACCTCGACCAGCTTGACACTCGGGTAGCGGTTATCAGTCCACAGAGAAAGCCTATCTAGAAAAATATGCATAAATATCTTTGCACAACAGTTAACGAGTGCTATACCTCTGTAATTTGTTGGATCATCTGCAGGCCCGCTCTTATGCAACATAAATAGCAGAATATTAGACCAGGAATTAGGAGTGGTACTATTTTCAAATATGCGATTGTAAAGTGTGGTTAGATATAAAATCCAATTATTGGAAAGGTTTTTAAAAAATTCGTACATGATACCATCGCTACCAGGAGCTTTAATATTTTTACAGATATTAAGTACATTGTAGATTTCTTCGGTTGCGATGGGATCATCAAGGTATGGATGACGAACATCAAAAAAATAAATATCATTATTTATCTGAGTTGGATACATTTCCATGTAAAATGCATCCCAAACATGAACAGTTTTTATTTTTGTAATACTGCGAAACTGCTTAATAGTCAACCAAAAATATTTAGCATTTGATACATTGGAGAGTTTAGATATGCCACAGCTTATACAATACAACTCCGTGTCGGCGTCTTTGATGTGGCGGTCGAGAACCAAGCGAGACGGAATGGTGCTATCTCTGTTAGATTCGACGGAAAAGTCGGGCCCGGATTAAAAAATATATTTATTATTGAAATAATTGAAGATCTTGGCGTAATAAGGTTGGTTACATGCCACATTAAGTATGTTTTGAGAAATTAGGTTTTAAATTTGTTTTAAATCTATCAAATATAAATAAAAAAATTATTTAAATATAAATATTACGAATAATAGCACATCTTTCGGATTAGAGATAAAATAATTTGTATGTGGCTAGTAATATACTTGTTAACAGATGTTTTGAGCTAAAACAGTCACTTCACGACAAATTGTGGCCGTGGATGCAAATCAAGTTGTACCCCGTGTATCTAGCAAAATGTCATTCATCGCGCAAAGGGTTTATAGTGTTTATACCTAGATAAACGACTGCTTCGACTGACTGAGGTCTGGGAACTCGATGATATTCTGGGTTATTATAAAGAATCGGTAACTTGTGCTTTTATTTTAACAATATCGGTTTTATTTAGATGTATTTTTATTCATAAAGATTTGTAGAAGTAATAATTTGACAGTTTTTATTTATATATTATATTTTTATCTGACCGTACCGAAGTAGAGAATTTTGAAACTTGATAGTAATGTGAAATTTAGATTACAATATTATGCGAAATTATATAATTAGTACCTATTTTAGGTAGGTA